CAGCCTTTCCACAAAAATCCAAGGCACTGGACCATGAGAGGGTCCAGTTCACTTTAGTTGGTTTGTTCTAAAGTTTCACAACTGCGGCAAACTTTTCCAGAGCTGATCCTGGAGCCAAGAGAAGAAAGAAAAGCCCTTTATGAATGTTTTTCTCTTTATCTCCCTTATCCCTTCCCCTTCCTCTTCCTCTCTCTCTCTCTCTCTCTATCTGTTCCCCTTCCTGTTTCTCTTCCTCTTCCTCTGCCTCTTCCTCTTCCCCTTCCTCTCTTCCTCTTCCTCTTCCTCTTCCCCTTCCGCTTCCGCTTCCTCGTCCTCTTCCTCGTCCTCGTCCTCTTCCTCTTCCTCTTCCTCTTCCTCTTCCTCTGCCTCTCTCTCTCGCTCTCTCTCTCTCTCGCTCTCTCTCGCTCTCTCTCTCTCTCTCTATTTCTCTCTCTATTTCTCTCTCTATTTATCTTTCTCTTTCTCTTTCTCTTTCTCTTTCTCTTTCTCTTTCTCTTTCTCTTTCTCTTTCTCTTTCTCTTCCTCTTCCTCTTCCTCTGCCTCTCTCTCGCTCTCTCTCTCGCTCTCTCTCGCTCTCTCTCTCTCTCTCTATTTCTCTCTCTATTTCTCTTTCTCTTTCTCTTTATCTTTCTCTTTCTCTTTCTCTGTCTCTTTCTCTTTCTCTTTCTCTTTCTCTTTCTCTTTTTCTTTCTCTTTTCCTTTTCCTTATTACACTGTGAATAAAAAATTTAAGGTGGAAAGGTAACGCAATCAACATGCTGAACCTCACTCACTACAAGGTACTACAAGTACTACAAGGTACTACAAGGTACTACAAGGTACTACAAGGTACTACAAGGTACTACAAGGTACTACAAGGTACTACAAGGTACTACAAGGTACTACAAGGTACTAAGTTCATCGGCAAAAAAAAAACAATTGTAGCCAATTGAAATCCTTACTTAAGTGTGGTTGTTTTTTTTCTGGGGAACATTTTTTTGGCACACAACTTTAAAGAGAGCACAGGTATTGTTTGGGGGACGGAGGGGGTACACACTAATCAGGATCCAACATTATTTGTATGGGACCCTTTTGGAGCCTTCCAACGTGCTTCGTGAATGCTTTCTGGTTCCACCATATTCCACGTGCTTAACCACGAATACCACTTACACGCACATAATTGCCGAACAGAGTGCATGCCATGCCCCTGGAAGGTTCATTTCCGGTGAATATTGTTTCCAGAACACTACAACTGCAGCAGGATGTTGAAACGCGATCACCTGGTTGCCACGCCGCATTCTTTCGATGTTGCCAAAAAAAATATGTTTTTTCGATGTTCCCATTTTGTTTTTCATGTCACAAAGGACAGGTCTAGAGGAAATGCAACACGTTTGACGTTGTTTTTCACCCGCGTCGGGATGGTGCCGTTTGTCAGGTTTCCCAACACCCCTACAAGGGGAAACGGCGAAAACGGGGAAACGGGGTAGATAAAAAACAAATCTATTGCATCAAGGCAATGCCACTGGGATCGTCGACTCGCAGTCATTCCCCAGACGCCATTTCATCAATTTCAACTGTTTGAGTTTTTGCTTCGCCCAAACCCGTCAAGTGAATAACCCACGGTTGGTTTTTTTCGATTTTTTTCACGTTCATTTCTCTTTGACCTGAATCATGTTTAAGCGATACGTTTTAGAAACTGGCGCAGCGATTGGACAATGCACCGAACTTGAATGCATGAACCCGCACCCACCATGATTATTTTGGCTGGATTTTGTTTGCATTTTTGTGGAACTGTGCACAAAATCTGGATGTCACCAACCTCTTTGCGACAGGTTTGTACTCGACCGCCAACCCGTTTGGAATACATGATTGACAGAAACCATGCGAAGGCTTGAACGCCGAGTGTTTCAAACAGATAAACCAACCAACACAGCAGTTCCCAGCAAAAAAAACTAATGACAACACGGGGCCATCAATTCCGAAACAATTTTGGCGCCACAACCACAATCGAAATCCTGACCGCTGTGCGGCTGTGCACAACCATAACAAGACCGTTGGCATAAAAATGAACATTCTAAAAAATGCATCAGACATCTGAATTGATTGTTTTTTATTGTTTTTTCACTTTGTAACCACTCTATCAACAATAATCAACCATTTTGTTGTTCATTTCTTGCACAACACGTGTCACACATTCGACAAGCAAACGCTGTTCATTTTGCATGTTGCAGCCAGCAAACAGTGAATTTGGCTATCGCCACCGCACATGGTTTTCATGCCATGTTTGCTCCACAAATCCAACCGGTCACACTGTTGTAACAGTATCAATTGCACGTGATGCCATGAATAATTTGGGGTCAAAACAAATTTGATACAGTTTTGCCATTTTGAACATGTATATATGCATGTTTATATAGACATTACCTGTATATCTACATACATGATCATACATGTGTATATAATTTCATGTTTATAAGTAGATGTATATATATATACATATATTCAAAACTGGGATTCACACAACCGGCTGAGAAGATGGTTTTCCAGCGATTTTGTCCTGCACATGTCAATCCACGATTTTGTACCGCAACACGGTCAAGCAATCCCCGCGATCCTTGGAAGTGTCCTCTTCGGACTGATCTTTCCTGGCAGCAATTTCAGTTCAAACACTGCTTAAGAAAAGTGAACATCACGACCACCACACTGCCAATGGCCTGGCACGTGCATGAGGTGACTGTGCGCGGTGTTTGGTCGTTTTGCCATGTTCGTTTTCACTCCTTGGACGCTGCAGAACACACATTTCAAAACATCATTCGCTTAAAATTTCATGGTTTTCAATTCCGAACACTTCATTGAACATTTTTGCAAGGTTGACTTTGGCACACGCAATGTGCGGTTCATACGTATGAACTGAGGTCGCAGCTGCATAAGTTGAACTAACCGACGCGTGTTCAAGTGCACGTCTACAGTAATTCCTATGTATCAAAATATTTTGGAATGCGTAATACTGGCGCAAATCTCAAAATGTGGTGGTTAATGCATCAGCAAACATATTTATGATTTGCGTGTTTGTTTTCTTTTCTGAATCCGGGGTTGATCGATGTTACTTTTGCATGCAAAACGGGCAAATGGATTCACATTGAAATTCATACCAACAACTTAACATGCGATGCCGTGCGCACGCCACATGGGTGACAATGCGCAAGATGCAAAGTAAGCACCATCACCAAGAAACACCCCAAGAAACACCCCACCAACAAGTGACAATTCCGAATGCCTCTGTCATTGTATGAACAATGAGAGAAAACAAATGACACCAAAATGGCAATCTGTGCGGAAACAAGTACGGCAACAAAACCTAATATACTAAACACATTGCCGATCATGGGCGGTTTGAGTTGTTTGAAACGGGTTTTTTCGCAACATGCCAGAAGAATACGTTTTCATGTTTTTTCACAACCATGATGCATATGACTACGAAAAAATGCCAATACACCTTCTTGATTGATACACCTCAAACACACTGTTGCATATAAATTTCCGCCCGTCAAGCAAACATATGGACACGGCGTAAAATAACAGTGACACTGTTTTTTATGGGCCTGTCATGGTGTGGTTTTGCCCAAAACAAATTTCGATGGATGCAATCGACTGCAAACTGATAATATAACCAAACGCTCATGTCGGACATTTTACTTCCGTTTCCATGACCTTTATGCTACATGTTTTGTTGTTGCACATATTTTGTTGGAATTCGTTTGAAAATTTCACAGTTCATCGTGCCAAAATGTTTGAAAACATATTGTTCTCGAAGTTCTCTGAAGTTCTCTAAAGCGTGTACTCCCAAACAATGAGGAAACAAATTGTTCAGATATAAACTATAAAACACAAAATGCGTGGCAACAAGGCGATGTTGTCGTGAAATTTGGTATCGCATTTTTCTACAATCCGAAAACGACCATGCCACCATGGCGTATCGAAAAAAAAGGTATTGCAATCCTGTTGCGGTGGTGTTTAATCCGTGCAAAAAAAAATGTGAATGTCGCAAGAATTCGGAGGGTAAAAAAAACAGGGAATTGTACATAATTATTTGCAAATGCTGGTGCCTGAGGTCCCATGACCATTGTCCAAAAAATAACGGTGTTTGGGGTGGTTATTTTTTTGCATAATGGTGAAATGTGGTTTGACACAAAATCAACAATTCCGCCCAAATAAAATGATAGTGGCCCTTCAAACAAATCCCAAAACATTTTGTGTGCGTTGGAAAGGGTGTTTCCAAACAACACACTTTCCCACCCTTTCGGACGATGTGTTGACTTCGGTGTGGAGCGAAGCACCTCTGGCTTGATCCACGCGCCACGCACACTCAACTGGAGTTGTGCAATCTAACTTTTGGGCACGGCAGAGCCATTGGCAATGCCTTCAGAGTTCCTGCGTCACGTTTGGAAGGTATGCATGAGCATCCCACAACAGTGAGGCACTGGGCAGAAAGGCTTGCACCATGGTCGATTGTGGCCTGCATTTCTCCAACCCAAATTGAAGGTCTCCTTCCACACAGCTCTTCAACAACTGGCGAAACCACAGCACACTGGTAGTAGTTGCGGGTACGATTAAACAATAAGTTTTTTGAGAATAAAAATTTGCTATCTCGGCATCCGGCGTCGGAATCCGACAGCGCAATGACGTTTGCAAAGAAAAGGAATTAGAAGCAGAACTAGAAGTACAAGTAGGAGAAGAAGTATCGCAAACAGTACTACAAGTAGCAGAAGAGGAAGTTACTGGTGCTAGTACTGGTACTACTACTATTGGACAGATGAAAAGCAGAGCAGGGAAGAGGCAGAGAGAAGAGAAAAATTAGAAGAAAGAAGGGTAAGAAGAAAGAAGATGCAGATGCGTGAAAAGGTAGGAAAGTCGCGAACCACTGTGTTTTTCCAATGATTTGTGGCGGAGGGTCGAAAAGTAGGCTCGCTAAAGCGGCGGGTGCGGAGCCAGCTGGCCAGATGAGAGATGAAAAATTGCAC